TCTTGATAGAAGAGAGAGTGACACTACATTTTGCATAACTCCCATCATTAGACTGAACATACTATATGCGAGTAATATTAGCATACAAAAAACATCTTATATGAGAATACAAATAAAAAACAGAGTGAGATACCTCATCCAAATATGAAGGCTGGTGGGTCCTGTTGTCCTGCCATTCACCTGTAAAGCCAACGTAAAGATGCTATTCATATCAGCAAATGGATACAAGAATGGGTATTTAACAACAAGGGTGTTTTATTTGACAATCCCAAACATGGTTAAAAAAGTGAGTATTTACATACAGAACACCCAATTCTTATATATCCTTCCATGTCTAACACCTAATTTTGCTTATTACATTTAATCCACACTAATCTTTCATATCACATTAAAATACAATACACATTTTTATATATAGATAAGATGCCATATATGTAAAAATTGAAGTTTAGGTTAGATATGAAATACACAAGAATTGAGTGGATGTATGTAAATCTTCCAAAAAGTAAATGTTATTAACGTAACTAATTGATATTAGCATTAAAACTAAAAAAAGAATAGGTAAAGTATGATTCTATTAACAATTAAGAATCACACATACAGGATATATGATATCAAACAAACTACGAGGCTGTTCCCAAATAAGTACCTAGAGGAGTAGGATGCTGACGACTTCCGCCGATATCTCTGCATGAAATATAAATGATTTGAATAAACGATTAACAAAAATTAATTAAATTTTAGTCCTATAAGATTTTTCAATCTCACCCCTCTTCCAAAACCCCAAAATCAAATGAACCAAGTTCAAATTGCTCAGGAAGAGGAACAGAAACCTCATGGTATGATGCAAGCATCGTTTCAATCTGTTTTTCACAGCTATGCTCCTTCATTGTCATAGCTATATGATCTATGGCAGACTTTACCTCTTTACTGCACCTGTTACCCTTTCTTGGTCTAGCACTAACTTTGTTCTGTGCATTATTCCCTTCAGCGACAAGAAGAGACTTTCTTATTTGATTTAATGTCTCGTTGCACT